TTTCAGCTCCCGCTCAGATTCTCCAGGTGGGACTCAAGCGCGTGGAAATGAAGCGGATTTTCAGAACTGCTGCAATGGAGCACGCTTTCCCCTCCTGACAGACTTCTTCCTTCCTTGGCTGCCACGCAGGGGCGACAGCTGTAGCTAGCTGTGCCCCCCACGCCTCTCTCGCCTCTGCAGTCTGCAGTGCAGCGCTGGAACCGCTGCTGAACCTGGCAGGTGGTGCCACTGTGTTCCAATCTTTATCTTGGGTTCTAGCTGATCTATAGGAGCTCAGCTTGTTGGGGCGCCTTACTATGCAATCTTGATGAGTATCTTCCTAAGAAGGACTGGAATCTCGTACTCGGATGTCCTGGAACATGGACGGCAGTGTGTGACACAACACAAAACCCCCAGGAGAATAACACTGGAAGCGCAGGAACACACGGACACGTCGCACGCGCATGCACTGTGCCACAGATCCTTCCCCAAGTCTTCAAGGAAGCAAGAGGCGCAGAGGTCAGGGGTACAAGCTGCTGGGCCCCAGAGGCGGGCACTGCAAATGGCTCCCTCAGCTCAGTAAGGCCATTATCTTTCCAAAAGGCTGGAGCAGGACTGAAACAGATGCACTTGTTTTTCCATGAATAAAAATCACCTGTCGTATGTCCTGATATCAAGGTGTTATCCAATGAGTTGACATTGACCTTCAAGTTTATTCACAACCGAAAGAAGGGAGACTGGGATTTATTGCTTTTGAATTCCAGAAGGGACCCTGAGGACCCAAGTGAAGGAAATAAGATCTCCTGTGTCAGGTCCTGAGGTTTCTTTCTCCATTTCTCAGGTTACTTACAGAGCTGATTGAAGCTGAGGTTACTTTATTTTATCTTATCTATTTATGTGGTACCGGGGATTGAACTCAGGACCTTATGCTTGCCTTGAGGAAGTGTGACCTTTGGCTTAGCTGGAGCTACTGTTTCATGCTTGCTTTTTCTTTCTTTTCTTTTTTTTTTTTAATGTACTTAGTACAGGGTCTCACTGCACAGATCGAACTCCTTGTGATCCTGTTTTCAGCCTCCCAAGCGCTGGGATTACAGGAGAGCTCCAACATGCCCAGTCTCAATCACTGCCTCAGTGCACCCCAGGGGCAGGGCCTGCATGGCCCGCTGGGGATCGAACCCCAGTCCCTGCATCTGCCTAAGCAGGCGCTTTAGGCCACTGAGCTAATGGCTGGCCCTTATGCTTGCCTTCTGATCAAAGAATCGCCTTCATTAGAAGATGGTGAGCAGCCCAAACACAGCTGTTCAGAGTTCACAAAAATCCTACAAGGATTTGGAGGGAGACAGGGTAGAGGCTGATCGAACAAGATTTTGCAGCTCATCTGAAATCAAAGACTGCGCGATGTGGGAGTAGGAGGTCTGGGCTTTCCCAGCGCACCGAGCAAGCGCAGGATTTTGTCTAGCACTGTGCCGGGGTGAAGCAGCCTCCCCTCCTGCAGGCCTCCCCCGTCCAGGGGGCCGCAACACATGAGCAAGAAGTTCTAGGACACCGCGAGCCCCGAGAACACTGGGCAGTGGCAGAAAAGCCGATCCCACAGCATTTCGGGTTCCGAAGGTGGTTTTCATCATCTGTCCAGAACTGAGAGGCAGGAGGGAAGGGGAGATGTTAAGAGAAATATAAGCGCTTGCCAGGAAGGCCCGAACTACACCGAGCAAACTCGCCAGACTGTGGGTGAGAATCCGGGCTGCTGGTGCGAGGCTTTGCAACAAGGGCTTCGTGGTCGCAGCCGGCAGGGTCACCCCTTCCCCTACATGTCCCCGGTCAAGGTTCCCAGGAATAAGGAGGTTGTTGGTGACCCCAGAAGGCAGAGGCAGTGAACAGACAAAAGGAAGACTTCATCAAAATCCACAGAGTTGGTCTCGTCCTCAGTAAGTCTCCTTTCCCAGGAGCCAGAATATCCCAACTCCATCCTCAAAGCAGGATGGATAGACGCAGACAGATGTGTATTCAGGCTTCCACTGAAAACACTCCAGTGGGCCGGCCAGTAGATTAAAGCGGCTGCTCAGGCAGACACAGGGACTGGGATTGGATGCCGATGTGCCATGCTGGCCCCGCCCCCGGGGCGTGCCGAGATGGCGATTGGGACTAGGCCTGATGGTGCACACCTGTAATCCCAGCCTTTGGGAGGCTGAAAACAGGAGGACCACTATGAGTCCGGTCTGTGTAGTGAGACCCTGTAGACCCTGTACTAAATACATTAACAAAATAAATAAAAACACTCCAGGTGGGCAGCTGCACTCCATAAATGCAGTCTGCATATTTTGGTCTATTTATTATGTAATTCACTCCCATGATCAAACTTCAGAGGTACCATAGGGCTTAAAGGAAAAAACCTCTGCCGCGCCTTTCCCTCAGCTAGCCCAGCCCCCTACCCAGGGGTGACTTAGGTCATCAATATCCTGTCTGTCCTCCCAGGGATATTTTATTAACGCAGTCCAAGTAACACACCTCTAAAAATGCAGCTGTGGGGGCTGGTGAGATGGCCCAGTGGTCTAAAGCACCTACTTAGAACAAGCTTAGCAAAGCAGAGGGACCGCAGTTCAATCCCCCAGCACCACATGCCAGCCAGCCCCACCCCCTGGTGGGCTGAGCTGGCCACACACACACACACACACACACACAAATAAAAATAAATTTTAAAAAAATTTAAAAAAAATAAAAATGCAGCTGTGCTTCTGTGCGTTGTAGTCACCAGGACGTGCTTTAGCCACCTTGTTTGGACTGAAGTGCTACCGTCTTTCATCTGATTCACCTTCGGAATATCCTGTCATTAACACTAGCGGTACCAGTGTGTCTCAGAACTGGTGATTTCTGCAAGTAGTTCACCTCACCCAGTGTGTGTGGGTGAGTGGGTGGGTGGGTGGGAGGGGTGGGTGTACCCCACTTCTCAGAGTATTTGTACTTTTGAGTTCTAGGAACACAGCCTTGTACACCTTCCCCCTTAGCCAGGGTGCTAATGTCAGCTAGCTTCAGGAAGAAATTTTTACAACAGGCTCTTCTCTTCATTTTGTTGGCCAATGTCTTTACAGGATTTGTTTTGTTTGCTTTGTTTTAATCTCAGGACACATTTCAAAATCTCTGTATTTTGTGGGTTGGAATCAGGTAGAAATGGTTGTATCTCCAAAACAATAGTGGTGAACGAGAAACTGAAAAAGCAAAGTCTTTTCCCAAGCGTCCGATGTATTTTCTATTTGTTGCCATTTTACTCCCTGGCATACCCACTATGCTGAGTGATATCATTTAATGAATCCAC